ATTGTTTCTGATATGTGATTGGGAAAGGGTGGTATGGGAGGATGTGATCGTAACACGGTTAGGAAAAACGATTAGGACGTGGACGTGTCAACACGTGTTAGGGTCGCGGGGTCATGGGAGAGGTCATGTCCATCTCGGGGTGAGGGGAGTTGAGTCGCCTTGTGGCCACGGCAATCTGAGTGATTGTACAAATCGCTTTTGGCAACAAAGCGATGGGTTTAATAAACGAATGGCCACGGCTTCGGCTGTTGCGAGATGACGTTGACGGACGGCTTTCGAGGGGTTTGGTGGCACCCTGTAGATTATTTGGAATTCGTCATCGTCCGCATGATGAGCTACGATTGCACTTGAAATGGTTTTTCTTGTTCCTGAACGCAGCCAGACCGGTTTGTGTTCCCTGATTCTTTGGGATAATTGCCTGGTCGTTCTGACTACATATCTTGCCGAACATAAGCAAAGAAAAGAATAGGTGATCATGGATGAGGCATGGACAGGCAATTTATCTTTCAGGTTCACAGACATCACCGGTCGGCTCACGAAAAGGGTACGCAGTGTTGCGGCGGGGGAANCCGTCGTTATTTTCTGTCTACAGGGTGCCACCAAACCCCTCGAAAGCCGTTAGTCAACGTCATCTCGTTTTTCCTAACCGTGTTACGATCACATCCTCCCATCCCACCCTTTCCCAACCACATACCGGAAACAATCACAAACCACGAATCACACACAGCCATTGACGAACATTTTAATTTTAATTTTGATGATATAACTGTATTAGCCTGAAGGAGAAGTTGTCGAAAACAAGTGTAATGCTAAATACAATCCATGCTGAACTACTTGAACGCTTAATGCAAAACTCATCATAGGGTTTTGAACGGGATTTCATATTTTGTTTATTCCAATTTGCAAACATACCAAAAACGGAGGAATCGTGGAGTAAATTAAGATTGCTGGTGGCACGGTGGTTTAGTCGCTGTCTCCGGCGTGCTTTGAACTTTGCGGTAGGAGGTTCGAGCCCCACCATCATCATACATGAGTTTGATGAATTGATCTGTTGCTTTCACATGGTAATATTTACATCCCCATTCGCAGAATCAGTGCAGTTTGTCAAACCGGTACAAGCTACCTAACACTTCAAATCGGTTCGCAATGCTCCACTGATGTAGAACGAGACATATTGACTGGTTTTGTCTAATTTTCCAGTAGATGTCAAATGATGATCTAATTTGGAAACATTGAAACTGCCTTGGTTATCGCCGTGCCTTGATATAGCCCACATAATAAAGACTAATCTGTAAGTTAAGGGGTGAGCTACATCCGGTCAAGAAACCGGGCGGTGGTTTCTTTTCTTCTCAAATTGTTTTAATTTCTTCCACATACTCGACATTTTTGACAAAAAGCGTGATACGTTAGCCTACAGAGCTGCTGGTCACCGTATATTTTTTTAACAGTGTGCAATGATGGTATATTTAGACAATACTTGATCTAGAAAGACTGCTATTCTCAGTGTACGTTTGGACCTACATAAATCATTCCACCAGAGAATCGGTATATGTATGCCGCAAACAGCGGTATTATTAAGAAAAACGTGTTGTTATCACAAAGAAGCGCAGTGGTGAAACTAACAGTACTGCATATGTTTGGCCTGAGAATCATCGATTTAAAATATATTTTAAATAAAAACAAAAAACAATATTTAACAAAGTGCATGGCTAAACACATTCACCTAAGAGTTTCTTTTGGGTACACAGTTGTACAGCAAATCATCTACTTACAAGTGTCGTTCGTCATGAAAAATGATCAACATTTCTTGTGAATGAAACGTCTGGAATTCAATCTTTGCGGAATGGCCCTAAAATCAGATTGTGTGCAAAATGTAAGAATCCTTATGCTCAAGTTGATGTCACAGGGGTATCAATGGAAAAGTTGCAAAACCTACACTGTGGCTTTGAGGACTTCTATCCGTGATTAGTACAGTAAATTTGCTCAAGCAATAAATTTCCGTAAACGTAAACAAAGCACTTCAGAATTGATACAACAATCTTTCGGAAACACACCGAAGGAATTAACTATAATTATGTGTAATTCGATTTGACATAAGCGACAAAAATGTGCTTCCGTCAAACATCAAAAACGTGCGTTTCACTGGGTAAACTGATGACAATTTTGTGGATTGCTTAGGCATGATTCCGTCTCTTGTGCTTCCTAGATTCCAAGACCTTTTGGCCTTTCTGGCCTAGAGATGATCAATTTATAGATGCGGTCCTAGTAATTCAGTGAACCGAAATCGTTGCGCTTTCAGTTACATCGAGAACGCTCTAAGTCTAATTGCATCACCCAGACGGCCGAGTGAGCTATTTTAATCGTTCTCGAGTAAATAATGTGTATTTTGCCGACAAATCTGGAGGTCAAAGAAGACGTTTATTCCATAAGCGACAACCATACATGCACACGTGACCGAATAATCAAGGAGTTCTGGAACATGATCGATTCCTGTCGCTGTGAGAATCGAAGCCACAACAAATCAGCTGGTAATATAATGCAATATGTACATCTTTCTCTGGAACTTAGACGAACTAAGTGCTCTCATTTCCATGAACAGTCTCCAATGATCCTATCTACTTGCTTTTCTCAAGCAAATACTGCACAGTTAAAAACCCAATCACCTGCTGACACCTCACAAACGCGAACAGAAAACCAAAGAGCTAATCAGATGAAGGGAAAAACNTATGGTTGATTCGTCGTGTAAATGGGGCGTGAAATGAGAAGCCAGGAAGCACTAGACAGGTGTCTTGACCTGGTTGAGTCGCATCAGCAGTGCACGAATCCATCCACTCTACGAACCCAGGACCTCACAGGTAGAACGCAAGCATGCTACCCACTCGGCGACCACCCACGTCATTTTTTAAGTAGATAAGAGGCAAGTGTTCTTGATATCAAACGTGCACAAGATGAGCAAAACAGTATTTGCTCTTCAGGATTAATATCGAATCATCCATGTAGATAGTGATTCTTTTGAGATAATTTTGTGCATGCGGCCCATCAGGTTCCATCTACAGACATCGAAAAGTAAAACCATCATGAGAATAACGTTCTTTGACATAACATTTGTTGGTTATAGAACATGTCTAAGCCAACACATTCCTATTGAATAAAAGGTTTTCAACGATCCCCATAAATAATTCACCTTGTTGGAACACAAATTCTCACATAAGTAACTACCAAGAACAAAACAAAATCAAATTTCCGTGAATGCAAAGCAACGTTTTATATTTTCGCTCACCACCAACATATTGGAACAACAGATTCCGGGCAACCTATATCTCCATTTACCATAACTTCTTGGAAAATGACATGAAGAAAAATGATTTTCGTTACATTATTGGTACAACGTATTATTAATATTACATCACCGCACTATACCAACAATTCGGAATGTTCATGAATACGGTCGATTCAAACCAGCTCCTAGACAAGTTTCGAACTCGATCACCAACAGGTAATGTCGACAGTAGGCAAGTGCTTTGATGTTCACCCCGGAACAACGCTTATCCATTCGATTCCTATCTGACTTGTCAACGCCAGTCTCGGGATTACCTTTCTACTTACACTAACTTTATTCACACTTCACTTCCTGAACATTTCATTTCACTAATTTGCGCAATAAAGTATGCCCAGAGTAAATTAATGGACCTAGGTTCTGTGTCACTTATTTCAGATTTTCTACCGCGAACAAAATTTTATTAGTGCCACTGATTTATTGGGAGCAGCCTGGAACCTACTTGAACGATGTTGATGCAGTTCCTCACTTTCATCCATGAATCGCTTCTAGAAGTAGCCGACTTTGAAGATTTTTAAATTTACACGGCAGAAAAATCGATGGGAAATTTTTAATACTTTAACAAAGTATCATTATGATTACGAATTACGGAAGTGGTTGCATCCTCCAGGTTGGTACACTATCATACGTTCTTTTGGGATGCGATGTTCTCCTTGAATCCTGTTTATTGAATAACCTACTTGTCAAAATGGTACTGCGTTTTACAAATATGTACTGTTTGCTTTTACCAGTTTCAACAATTGAGATCACATTGTTTTTTTTAATTGATCGGAATGCATTGCTTTGCTTTTACAGGGTGTGTCGAATTACTTGATATTGAGCTTGGCTGTGGCAGATTTAATGGTTGCCACATTGCCAATGCCCATTTCTGCAATCAATGAAGTATCGGAAGACTGGTGGTTGGGTGAGTGATTTCTTTTTCCAAAACCACTGAGAGGAAAACAATGTAATTCCGATTTCATTGAGATTTTATCAACTAGATATCAGCCCTAAATTAGTCGTTTCAACTTCAGTTTGATAGATTTTTGCGTGTTGACATTGGTGGTGCAAAATAGTTACATGAAACTTGCGTACAAATAACTTTAGGTGAGAGTATTTTACTGTGGTATATTTGGTGATTTGATACTGCTGTGACTCATTGTGGTATTGCAGTTACATAAGTCTAAAACAGTTTCTTTGGTCAAGTTCAGATGACCGTATTGGTTAGACTCTGAATTATAATGATTCATTGTGGATTTTAACAAAAATCAGTTACACGTAAGTATATTATCATATTTGAAATTCCAGTTTCTATGATCCAGAGGAAGATGTTTTGAATTTTTAATTACTCCTATTCCATTTAATTAGGAACTTTAATTTCAAGTTTGAAAAGCTGTTCTAAAAAATCCTGAAGCACGTGACATGTGACCTGTGGTTATTTTTATTTATCAGTATCATGGCATGTCTGGCCCGAATCAAACTGTCATATCAAACTGCAGATAGAGGTCACTGTGACCCCATTTTGAGTGGCCAAAGAATCGGGACTGAAAATAAATGTTTATATCCCTTAGGGCAATCATTAAAATACAGGCCTGACCTTCTCACCCCAAATGCTGGGATTCTATACGGCTAATCAAATATCTCATCAATTCCTGCCCGCAAATCCACGGCATAGGATATCCAAATACTGATTTGGAGCATTTAAAATTAGGTTAGGCAATTTATCAATTGCATGACAGTAATGAATCGATAATGCTTGTCCCAAGATTGAGACTATTCGATCCAAATAGTTTTGATCGCGTTCTGGAAAAAAAAATTGACCGGAGTCCAACACTGTTATTATTCACAATCTGTGGATACAGCGTTGAATGCGGTTATTTTCTAATGATTCGTACAGAAAAAGCATCCCAAATCGTGGTTGTTTCTACTCAATAAATTTGGGTAAGACAGGGTTCAGTATCCTCTTCATATGTAAAACATTGTACATAACTTTTCATCGGTTATTCTTATGATATTCTTCTAGTCACATTCTTGTTTTCCATCTTGGTCGCATACCGAGAGTACCTATGAAGTAAAAAGGTTCAAACTTAAATCATCAGCATTTTTTGCTTTCAGTGTTTCACTAGCTGCCAGAGATGACGTTGGCAATTTTATCGTTCTGTTAAGCAATGGTAGTGAAAGCTACATCTCCGTTGATGATGAAACATGTAGAAAGAGGCAATTGTTGGACAAAACGCAAGCACAAAAGACAGCTACAACAAGAAACACAGCCAGAGCTATCTGAAGTTGACAGGGAAGACGAAATTCTGAATTACGAATATTTTATTTATTTTATTTTAAATTTTTCCTATCCACAGGTAATGCCTTGTGTGACTTCTGGATTTGCTCCGATGTACTCTGCTGTACAGCCTCAATTCTCCATCTGGTTGGTATCGCACTGGATCGATATTGGGCAGTCACAAACGCCGAGTACATTCGAAAGCGTACGGCCAAACGGATCGGTTTTATGATTACAGTATTCTGGCTCCTCTCCGTGGCAATTTCTCTCCCAGCTCGTTTCAACATAACGCGTTTAAAAAGTTGGATTCAACATTCAAATTTAGCCGCTAACGAATCAATTGAACAATGGAGTGTACCTGATTGTGGAATTAACAAGGAGTATGGCTACACCATATTTTCCACGGTTGGAGCATTTTATATGCCCATGATTTTCATGATGGGTATTTATGCGAGAATTTATTTGGTCGCGAAAGCTCGTATTCGACGGTCCACGTTTCGAAAACGAACCAATTCACCGCATGAGCAATTGACAACTATCACTGAGACCAATCAAGGACAGAAATCATGCCATTCTACCAAATCAAATTGGGCCAAATCCTGCGTGTGTTTAGATTGTTGTAGAAGAGCTCCGCAAACGTTGGCCACATTGTGGACAAAAGACACGAGTTTGAAGTCGACTATTGAACGGGAAAAGCCGTTACCCGAAAAACAAAGCGACCAACATTTGAACGACATCAATGGCCACCAAGCAGGGAAAATCGGACATCCAAGGAAATCCACCGGTTCATGGATGAAAGCAAATTTTGTTAACAAGGAAGGGGATGTTTTGGACATGCGACAAGAATTGAAGGCTGATCACAAAATTCTCCCCCGTGGACATTGTGTTAATTCATCTGTCCCCGATTCACACCGAGGCAAAGATGCGACTCAGTGTCATCAATGTCTAGGACAGATATTCCTCGGTTCGGTAGAAGAGGAAACCAAAATTCGCTTTGTATGGAACCGTATATCCCACTCAGCTCCACCCAGCGTTTTTGGCACTCCAAAACTAAGTTACAGTTCCGTATCAAGCTCGTTTGATTCCAGCTGTTACACAGCCAATCGATCAGAAAAATCAGATATGGCAGCTTGGTCATCATCGTGCTCTGTCGAGCATCGAGCAAAATCCACCAAAGATCGAGTTCATCAAATCCCACGATTTTACACTGTCATGAAAACATTCATAATTCGCAAACAGCAGCAACAACAACAACAACAGGCATCACCCTCATCGGCCAAAGAAGAACTGGATAGTTCACATATCCCGAGACTTAAAAAAACGAAATGGACAATGCCAAAATTGAAATCAGGTCGAACGAGCCGATCCACTTACAGGCCACTCCCGGTCAAATCGGTGGGAAGAAAGCATTCGAAAAGTTGTTGTAGTCCAGCACGGGAAAAATTAAACATGATCGACGGCTATTTAGAACAGCACATGGATGAAGACATGGAAGATATCACGGTCAACAGTATTGTTCAGGCTCGTTCCGCCAATGCTGTGGAGTTGGACAATGCCTCTGGTGGAACGCTACATTTGGAGGCCAGACTTAAATCAACCGTGGGTGAAGTAACAAGGTTAGCAACGGTCACTGCCATGGTGAAAAGAGAACGTCTGGAAAATCAGAGGGAAAGAAAAGCTGTTATCACTTTGGCCATTATCACTGGTTGCTTCATGCTCTGTTGGTTACCGTTTTTCATAGTCGCAGTGATTGCCCCGTTTAACGATCGGATGAGAATATCGAAAGTTGGTCACGGTATTGTTCTTTGGCTTGGTTACTCGAACTCTCTATTGAACCCCATAATTTATACGATCTTTTCACCGGATTTCCGCAATGCATTTCGCAAAATTTTGTTTGGACGATATTATCTTCGCTATCGTGATCGATGAAGACAGTGTGTGCGAGCATTCGTTTTGTGTGTTTGCCGTATCAACCTGGATGATGATGGTAATATTCTCATGCAATCCACCCTATGCTGCCTTATTGTTAGGTATTGTGCAATCGATTACCTGGTCTATGTGACTTATGTACTCGAATTGCATTACATGCTGTCATCTCCAAATCCGTTCCGTATATATATATATATAAATATATATATACGTTTGCTCCGTGCATTCCAGATTTTTCGACCATATTTGCAAAGTTTTCCCCAAGCCACTGCTAAACTTATTCCATCTTTCGTTTCGACTCTGAATCATGCTGAAAACAGAGAATTACACAAACTTCCCAAAAACGAACAGGTTATACTATACTCTTATTTATAACATGCCAAATAGATTGTCGGCAAATTTTTCCGCACATTGATGGATTCTTTTCGTGGTATGTTTCTTTTGTTTTGAACAGCAATCAACGTCTTTTATGGAACTCATCCACCTACTTAATCAAACAAAAAGAAATTCAATGGAAACACCGGTTTGTTACGTGATCACTCGCATACAAAATAGTTCCATTTCTGCCGCACTATACGCTACATTTCTTTTTAGGATCATAGCTCTGAATAAGCATCGATGGATATAGTGGCATATGAATACAGTAGCGTCTAAATGCAAAACTTAGTGAACCGTTGAATCTCCCCCTCAAATACGGATCAGTTCGACATTTTCAAACATTCCTATTGATGTTTGCGATAAATCAGGCAAAGGTTTTCTGCACGCTTTCATTTCACACTGATAGGAAACCCATGAATGGAAATATATTCTATTCAGTTCGTTGTGGAGTTTGGGATGCACAATTCACTCAAACGGCAATATAGGCACATGGGGGAATAGGTGGGGTGGCGGTTGGATCGCGCGCGGGTGATGGCGGTGTTGTGGGTGGGTGGGTGAGTGAGTGGTTGAGTTGTAGCAGGCATCAAGGGAAGTGAGCGAACTTTGTGATTGTCAGATTGACCGCGAATTCATCCGAACGTTCCTTGTTCGGTTTCGGTCAGCTGAGGACAGTCCGAAACACGGATAGATCACGCCACACAGCGAGAGAGAGAGAGAGAGAGCGGGAGACATTGGCCTATATGAGTCAGTCTGACACGGATTGAATAACCCCTGGGGTTACAGCGTATTTTCAATTCAAAGACATGCATATTTCATAAACACTGGTCAATGGCAATAAGCTAGTACTTTTATGGTCAATATGCTTTGGCCTTAACCGAATGTATCACCTGTCTGGGGTCATTATTCGAAAACTAAATATTAATTCAGTAAATGAAAACCAGAAATCACATTTCCATTTGTTTTGCAGTCAGTGGCACTTCTCTTTTCGATTCTCCCCTATTATATTCATATTTGGAATATCTCACCCGAGAAGACCTGCACCATTTCCAGATTGCAAATACGTCTCCTATTGTCATCGCAAACGTCTCCTGTTGATGAGCGCAAGTGGCAATTATAATGCTTGGCACAGCCAAAAGCGCCATGCCAAGTTCACCTGCTACCAATTCCAGGAAAAAGCTTTATCCGGGATCGATAAAACGCATTTGGTAACCGCTGAGTTTGACGAACGAGATGCATAACTTGTGTATCGAGAAGAACATCTGCAAACTTATAACAACAAGTCGACACGCAAACAGAGTTTTAGGGTTAAGAACACAATTATTTCAAGATTTCAACCGTCGTAAATCGGGTGTAACTATGTGTGTGCGACTAAATGAGAATGAGATGGGAAAACGTTTTCAGTTTATCAGATGACTTGTTAAATGCTCAGCTAGTTTGTGCCAACCCTAAAAGAAATAAGAAAAATTGAATTTGAAAGAAATAAAAATAAATATAAATGCTCGACAGATTGCAAACTTCATAGCTTTCTCACGAGAAGTTCCTTCGTGGTCATAATCCTCTGATACGTAAAGTCTCTCTTTTAAGTTTCCTTTGTGTGACCTACTATTGCACATCTAGTTAACAGTATATAAGCCATCAAACAAACACGAAATTAGTATTGACCTCCTCAAGGTAGAGCTGATTTCCTATCAATTTAGTCGACGTATCTGTATATGAATGCCAGATTTCATATATAAAAAGGGCATTTTTTGGGTTACTGCAGTTCCCGTCAAAGATATATTTAATCACCCTGGGAATATTGCTGTGTATAAAATACTCGGGATAAAGAAAGCGGAAACTATATAAAGCTGAACTCCACAGTTATACGGAAGTTGTTAGATTTCGCTAGCAGTCTGAAATCGTCTGGGGATCGTCCCTGAGATCTCAGAGATAAAAAACGCGGGGCACGCAACTCACACGCCCATCTGGCACCGAAACAGCATGTGACGAAACCTTCACAAGCAAACGAACACAGTTCTTGGAAAAACGAAGTGAAGAGAGCAAAAGCTCGTTGTCAATTAGGACGATACACCTGAGAGTTTGAATGAATTTACGGGGCTGCGAGTTGATCCCACCCCGCCAGCACCAGTCTCAATAGTGAACATATTTGATTCTTAATCGCGCTAGACTCGGAAATCAATGTTAACGCATATTTACAGATTATTTCTGTAGCGTTTACTAACAATGAAATAGCCCCACGACAAGTTCGTCGTCGTTATCCCTGGCCTTTTATTCACATAAGTGATGAAAAACCTTCGCTTTTGTCACAACGCCTTAGCATTCAGAACATTGGTTTCACGACGTGGACTAAATAAAGACCAACAGGGATGTTATTTGTGTTGAGTGCCTGAGTTCACATAATTATTTAGTATCTGAAAGTCCATGTTGCTTCTCGAATGGTGACCGCATCAACTGAAGTACGGTTTAGCCAAGATGACCGGGAATATTCCATTGCATCACCATCAACACACGACCTCCAGGGTGTTGTTTTTGTACACATGAAGCTTTCATAAGTTTTTTCGAATACCACAGCTAATCTCGATAGACTAAACAAGACAAGAAACCGGATTTCAATGTTGCAAACATTTTGAATAGCAAAGGTAGGTTCAGGAATCCATTCACTAAAGAACAATCTGAATCCACGGTGATCGTTTTATGCCTAGACCATCGATTTGCCTGAAAGCGGTGGTGCGTTATTGGGGAGAAACAGACAGTAGCAGTATTAGCCAAAATCGAAAGATAAAAGAGTCGATTTATCCGCACATGCATGAGTGAGAGCCGAATATGTCTAAAGTCGTTTATAATTAAACTTATTTTTCACGCGTTGATTACTAGCATTATTATTATTCTAAGTGTGTAGGACGAATTGAAAATGTTCACACAAATCAATAATCGAGTTTTCTCTATTTCATAGGGTCCGTGTGCATCAGCAGAAACACAGCAATTTTTACTGGCCGAGATTTGTTCTACTGCAATGAAAACGAACATTCTTACGATCGCGAACTAATTCAGTTGTATCATTTTACACACTATGACGTAAACATTGATAGGTGTAAACCTGTAGATCTACCAAGTTAGGTCGTTCACTTTGGCACTGAGAACAAATTAGGAATGTGTCTTTGCTTTAACTGAAGGTTTTTCCATTCCATCAAGGAACCTTGGAAGACGTGGTTTGCATATTGATGTTCCCAAGGTCATACTGTGTTTCTTTCATACCGGATTAGTCCTATTCTTCTTCGATTCTACTCAAATTTGGCTGAACCTTTATGTTGCCATTGGATGCCTATCAGGTTACGGTGATTTGGGGCTGTCTATTTTAATGCTTCGTTCACCCAGCGGTTAATAGCACGATCGCCTTATTCCCTCTCGAATGCCCAAAATACAATTTGGCAATGTTGTCAGGTCATATCAAGTGCGTAGTTCATTTTTCTTTGCGAACAAATTTGCTTTTGAAGATATGAATCACAAAGGTTCTGCTACCATGGAAATAGCTTTTTAGTAATGCTGCTTCCAGAATTTTGTACCGGTTCTTGCAGACTAATGGGAAAATTGAAAAGTGGTTGAAAGAGCGAGATGTCCAGGTCTTTGGAGGCTGAAATCACACGCTCATAAATGGTACACAGCGAGAGAGGGTTGCCCGATTTATGGGATACGACGAGTAAAATGGAATTGGATCATCCATGTACCGCCTTTAACGCAACCAAAAACTACTTGGGGACAAACTAAAATCCGAGTGAAACCTCTGACTCATGGACAGGTATACGAAGCCCTTAGCTTATTTTACCCGTAGGTTGAATGGTTTTGAGATAGCACAGCTCTGTAGTGATGGATCGGCCTCTGAAACTAACTGTGAATGTACGATGAACACTAAAATCCTAATGCAATTTGTTTCCCAATAATTTAACAGTCAAAATTGTGGGAACTCCAATTAGGCAAACATTAAAAGATTGTAGTTGTATTGTATAACTTCTGCAAGCTGAAATATGCTTACATTTCAGTTAAATAAATTACACCGGTGGTGACACCGGAGAAAATATAAATGTATAGACAGATCCAATAGGGTGGTGTGTAAAACACTGTTACCGAATTTCAATTCATGCAACTAGAGATTGACGTAATTCCTTTAAAACTCGTTCCTCGTTGGTCAAGATGCGAGCCAGATACTGTACAGTGGAGCTTTTATAAATGTTTATTCGAGAGGATCAGTACCAACAAGAGGAACGAGTGATCGAGTGAAAGCAACAAGAAGATAAGTAAAAATGCAAAGGATGGGTGGGGTGGCTAGGAATCGTATTGGCAAAGGTCACACAAAAATTAAAATGGCCATTATTAAGTTCTGCGATTAATGATTCGGCAGAAATTAAAGATGCACGGCTTATTATCATTAATTCATGACGGACGGTTGTAAAGTCTTGTTTCAATAGACCAGGAAACCCTGCAGGGGAGCAGTAATGTAAAATAGGGGGAACGCATTTTTTAACAAAAGAGAACACTTGTTGGGGAGTGCGAAACTGTCTGAGCTTTCGGAGCTGAAA